TCAGATCATATCCCCTAGAAAAGTCAGAAAAGCTCCACCCAGGAAGTTTAATCAACATGGCCACCTAAACAGGACCTAAAAAATGACAGCATCAATAAACATGTTAACATGGAAGGGGGAAATCACACAGCACAAAGAACTGCAGGCAACTAAGGAATGCTCAGAGCTAGAGAAATGGTCTTCCCTGAAGAAGAGCTCCCCCACCAACTGATTATTCAATACCAAGTATCATTATACAAACTGAGCAGGTTACATTTATATATTTAGGAAAATATGTAACAATAATTAAGGGAAAAGGCCATAAATTTGGGAGTGAGCAAGAGCAGCTATATAGAGGGGTATGTAGGAAGGAAGAAAGGGAAGTGGGGGAAATGATAATCATATAATAATTTCAAAAAATAAAAAATATCATAACGCCAGGCTTAGTGGTACACACCTTTACTCCTAGCACTCTGGAGGCAGGGCAGATGAATATCTGTGAATTTGAGGCCAGTCTAGTCTACATGGTGAGTTTCAGGATAGCCAGGGCTACATAGTGAGACCCTGTCTTGAAAAAAAACAAAAGCTTTTTTAAAGTCTCAGGTTTGATGCCCAGCACCCACATGGCAGCATACAAATGGTCTGTAACTCTAGTTCTAGGGTATCCAATACACACACATAAAATAATAAAGTACTCAAGTCTAAAAATATTTATCAATGATGAGGATAAAGCTCAGTGGGTGAATACTCATCTAGCATGTGCAAAGTTCATCAACTAAATTTTGCTCAGTTTAAGGAAAACCATAATTCAAACTGTAGTCATCTATGGTAATGATATCTAGTTAAATAATGGATGCAAGCTTTATGCATAAAAAACATGAAAATACTAATATTATGGGAAATCAGAGGCAAACATTCAATTAATCTTGGACAGAGAAAAACCTCTCTGAGAAAGTTTGAAGACATAACTAATCAGAAACTACAGGTTTGGGAGAGGACAATGGACAGTAGGGAGTATCACCGATGTGGGTCATGGAAGAAATGAGGGCTAAACATTGTCAGAAGATAATCCGATAAAACTATAAAAGAAAAAATTGAATATCCTCTACAAGACACATGCTCAGAATGCTCATTGCAGTGGGGCCTAAGCTCACGAAGCTCAGAGAGAGCCACATGCTCATGATTTATTCTCATAGGTATCTATCTGCACAATCCATGAGTGAAACAGGACTGTTACAAACAGATACTGATAGAGAAAAGCAAGAAACAGAGAAAGAAACTGCCAGAGACACCCACAGAAGGCCTGAACCTGCAGGGTATCCAGGTGGATCTATATTACAGAGCCCTCTAAAAGGCAGATTTCCTTATTGTCACCTACTAGAGCAAGTGTGAGAGGCCTGAGAGACAACTGACCCGAGGGTTCATAGTCCCAGAGCAGGCCTCCTGTGCCCACAAGAACACCTACACCATGTCAGTCTCTTTCTCCTCCCTGCACAGTCACCTGAGTTAGGTCAGCAGGTGTTTCTTCTCTCTGTGTCACTGGATACACCTTGACTACATTTGCAATTAACTAAACCCCAAGTGTCAGGGTACACCTTCGAGGGTTTTCTTTTTCCTTAATTATAGCATTTGAAGTAGGAAGACCCACTTTTAGTGTAGGTCTTTTGAGGTGGGAAGTGGGCTACATCTTCTGGTGGCAACCTACGTAAAAGGAATGGAAGAAGCAAGTTTGCTCTGGGCTTGTTTGCTCTCACTCTTGCTGTCAAGTTCGCTCCTTCACTGTCACTAGAGCTAATTCTTCAGTATTCTGAAGACCAGTGGAGACATCCAACCTCCTGGACTGAACCACTACTGAATTTTTAGTCTCTCCGTTGGTAGACAATCGTTGGACTAACTGAACCACAGCCGGTAAGTCCCTGTAATGAATCACCTTTCTGTATCTATGTACAGATTCATTTCATCAGTTCTGCTCCTCTAGGGCAGTGGCTCTCAGCCTGTGTATTGTGACCTCTTTGGGTTGCCTTTCACAGTGGGCGCCTAAGACCGTCAGAAAACAAAGATATTTACATTACAATTCGTAACAGGAGTAAAATTACAGTTATAAGGTAGCAACAAAAATAATTTTATGGTTGGGGTCAGCACAACATGAGGAACTATGTTAAAGAGTCACAGCATTAGGAAGGTTGAAAACAACTACTCTAGAGACCCCCGACTAATTTCCTAGGAAAGTCCTAGCTACTAATCAGACTGAAGGGAAGAACAGATGAAGATGACTTATATTTTCTTCTCTTTTTTTAAAGATTTATTTATTTATTTATTTATTTATTTATTTATTTATTTATTTATTTATTTAATAGTATTCTGCTGCACATGTGTACTTGCATATCAGAAGAGAGCACCAGATCTCACTATAGATGGTTATGAGCCAACAAGTGGTTGTTGGGAATTGAACTCAGGACCTTTGGACAAGCAGCCAGTGTTCTTAATCTCTGAGCCATCTCTCCAGTCCAACTTATATTTTCTTATTCTTTTAACTTTCACATTACCTTATGTCAAACATTTTTAACTACATACATTTTAGTTCATATTTGAATTATTCATATATGTAATTCATGTATTTAAATCTAAGTGGACTCAGATTGATATATAATTACAAGAAATATTAAAAATAAAAAAATTATGTTGGGTGGTGGTAGTTTACATGCCTTTAATCTCAGTACTTGGAAAGCAGAGGCAGGTGAATCTCTGAGTTTGAGATTAGCCTGGTCAACAGAGTGAGTTCCAAAGAAGTCTTGTCTTGAAAACCCAAAAATAAAAAATAAAAGTAAGGAAAAGGATAGCATTTTGTGAATATATGTGTTTAGTAGGAAAAGTATGAAAAGACAGGTGACTTTCCAACTTGAATAAAGGTGACATTTGTTAGTATTGAGAGACCAAAGAATTGACAATTGTTTTTTTTTTTGGATATTAGTTTGGGTTTTGGAGCACAGGCCTGGGTGAAGGCCAGCCAACTGGGGTAAGGAACTAGCTTTACTGCATCCTTTTCCTGCCCACCAGAGATACAGTTGATAGGAAACTGGCCCAAATGGCCAGGCCAGAACTATTTGTGGTTTTGGCACCTAAAGTAAACCAATCATTTCAAAAGTCAATTTCCCTTACCCAATCATGTAACACCAAGGCATGTAACTCCCTGCTTGAGTTTTTTTCCCTTTAAAAACCTTGTTCTGTTAGACAGCCCCACTGCATTCCTCTCCTGCTTCCACAGGAAGTTTTGCGACCTGGACTCAAGCACGTAACGTATCTAATAAACCCTCATGTACTTGCAGCAGAGTCTACTCCTGGTGGCTTTGGGGGGTCTCGTGAACTGAGCATAACAGTGTTTCTTTTCAATACTAGAACTTTTCTATAAGAAATTATTTTAGTAACAAATCTGTGTGTGCATACATGTATGTATGGTTGTATGCATGTGAAGACCAGAAAACAACCTTGGGTGGCATTCCTCAGAAGCCATCTTTTTGCTTACCAAATAGTCTAAGCTGGCTGTCCATAAAAGGACCTTTCTGTCTCCAATTCTCCAACACGGGAATTAAAAGAACTAAAGAAACTAATCAAGAAGGAGGACTCTGGCTAAAATGCTAAATCCCCATTTAGAAAGGCAAAGAAGATGGATATCAGAAGGAGAAAACAGGGAACAGGACAGGAGCCTGCAACAGAGGGCCTCTGAAAGTCTCTACCCTGCAAGGTATCAAAGCAGATGCTGAGACTTATGGGCAACCTTTGGGCAGAGTGCAGCAAATCTTATAAAAGAAGTGGGAAATAGTAAGATCTGGAGAGGACAAGAACTCCACAAGGAGAACAACAGAACCAAATAATCTGGGCCCAGGGGTCTTTTCTGAGACTGATACTCCAACCAAGGACCATTCATGGAGATAATCTAGAACCCCTGCACAGATGTAGCCCATGGCAGTTCAGTGTCCAAGTGGGTTTCATAGTAATGGGAACAGGGACTGTCTCTGACATGAAATGATTGGCCTACTTTTTAATCACCTCCCCCTGACTGGGGAGCAGCCTTACCAGGATACAGAGGAAGACAATGCAGTCACTCCAGAGGAGACCTGATAGACTAGGATCAGAAGGAAGGGGAGGAGGACCTCCCCTATCAGTGGACTGGGGGAGGGGCATGGGTGGAGAAGGGGGAGGAAGGGTGGGATTGGGAGGGAAAAAAGGAGGGAGCTCCAGGGGGGGATACAAAATGAATAAATTATAATTAATAAAAATTAAAATTAAAAAAAGAATATTACCACACCCAGTATTTTTTATCTGGGTGTTAGCGATTGAACTCAGGTCCTATCTAGCTCAACAACTCTCCTTTACATAAAAATATAAAGCCATTTAGAAAGCTATCTGGGAGTGGTGCACATCTGTGACCCTAGCACTCAGGAGACTGTACCAAGGCTATAAAGCAAGACCTTATCTTTAAAAAGAACCAAAAGAAAAAAAAAAGTGTTACTAAAACTGCATCATAAATGCAATGGCATTTATAACCTTCCATTAAAAACAGTCTTTAGAGCCTGGTGGTGGTTGAAATCCCAATACTTGGGAGGCAGAGACAGGCAGATCTCTCTGAGTTTGAGGCCAGCCTGATCTAGAGACATCCAGGCTAAACAGGGAAATCCTGTCTTGAAAGCAAAAACAAAACAGGCACAAACAAAATAAAACAGTCTTTAGTAATTACAAAATGGAGATGTTTTTCATCAGATAACGCTTTTGGAAACTACCTTCCCAGGACAAATCTGAAAAGGGTTATGGAGTGAGAGAAGAGCATCCCTTTTGCCCTCATAACTGCTAAGCTTCTGGGTGGAAAACTCAGCCATTCTTGTTCTCAGAACAGAGTTGATGCCTCAACAGCAGAGAAATAAACACATAGAGTAAAATGCAATTAGCACATGAGGTCCTCTTCTGGGAACAGGATGTGCAGAAGCAAATGTACACTAGGGCATGGAAATGGGCAAGTAACTTACAGGATGCTTGGCTGAAAGTCTCCCCGTCACAGTTCCAGTCTGATTCCATGTAGAAGAGATGGAGCCCTTGATCAGTTAAGAAAAGTCAGTTCAAATCTAGGCAATATGGTGTGAGGAAGAACACACAGACCTTTCACCTACAACCTACCCCGGTTCTTCCTGCAAGTTAAAAAACAGCTTTGGGATCAAGGACAGCAAAAGATGTTCCCCTCTAACCCAAATTGAAACAGCAATAGGACAAATGGATCCATGTCAGTTATTAATTCTATATGTGGTTTATGGGGCTGTAGAGACAGCATAAACTCAAAGTGGAATTATGTCACAGGTTCTGTTACTTGTGAAGCCTTGTAAGTCATAGACATCTCTGACTGTCGTTTTCTTGTGTGTAAATTAAAACAGTAATGTCTACCTGTGATGGATGTTATTGGTTGCTGACTTGACTGTATCTATAATTAATTAAAACCCAACCAGCTGGGTAAACTTGTGATGGATTTTTTTAAAATTAGATAATTTGAAATGTAAGAGCTCCTTTTAATCCAGATCTTTTGTGGTGGGAAGATACACCTTTAATCCAGATCTTTGGAAGTGGGAAAATCCACTGGTAACATTGGTCACACATTCTGGTGACCACCTATATAAAGGACACAAAAGGAGGAAACTTTGCCTGTTTACTCTCACAGAGAATCCATTCCTTCACTGGCACTAGAGCCTACTTCTTTGGGATTCTAACATAAAGACCAACTGAGACACCTAGCCTCATGGACTGAACAACTATTGAATTCTAATCCCAATTTATTTTTATAAAGCCTTAGTTACCTTTTTCATAAAAGCTAGTAATCCATCTATAAAAGTTGACTTGATCTTGTGAACCTACATCATAAAGATAAGAATAGTTATGTTCTTAAACTTGTTTAAGTACTCAAAGAGACCAACTGCAGAGCATCAGTTCACCTAGGAATGGGCATGTGGGCAGAATTACCTTACGTAACTTTAAGTAGTGCCAGGATTGAATAATACAGGTCCACAAAGAAAGATGCCAGTCTGTCATTCTGCAATATTTAGACTGCAAAGTCAATTACTCATCTCAGTGTCCCCAGAAGTGGGCCCTTTCTAGTTCTTTCCCCATCCTTACATTACTTCAGAAGGATGGCTAGTTTGGTACCAGTGTATTTCTGCAGGACAAGAGCTCCGAAAATAACAGCACTGTTGTTTGGTTTGTAAATGTGGTTAATGAATAACAGAAAACATGAAATAAAGAGCAAGTATGTGAACAGAAAAACATGATTAGCCAAAAGAGGAAAGGGGGTATGTCAGTAAGCCTCAGTAAATATCACTGACTTGGAGTCTGGAAACCAGGGGAATGACAAGACTTTTGTGAGAATTGGTAGAAATCTCACTCTCACTTAAAGAAACAGGGGCACAGGCCATCAGTCTCCTTCCACACATGACTCCTTGGGCTCCCAGTGTTGGAAAAGTGGAATTAGTCTTGAGTAAGATGACATTGGGATATGAAGAAACAAGGCTGACAAAGTTGGTTGAGGAAATTTTATCTCCTTAGAATACTGTTAACACATGTCAACTAATATGGGGTTGTGAATAGAGACAAGGTTAGATAGTATTCCTTTATCATAAATCACAAACCATTTACACACACACACACACACACACACACACACACACACACACACACGTCAACTTACCTGTCTATATTCTAAAATTATCTTGGGTAAAGGGTGAAGATCTTGTAGAGAATTTAACTAAAAATGAAAATATGTATTATCAACATAATTTCTTCATTTCAATTTTTTTTACTTTCAACTGGAGGGTATACAGTAATAAATGATGTGATTTAAGATATTTTCCAAAATGAAGCTTCATAACAAACTCAGATTATCAAAAAAATATCTTACCCAACCACCTACGAAGTAACATCCTAACCAGGAGCTAAAATTACTTCAAATGAGCTGAGAAATAAGAGTCTTCTTTAGACCTTAAATTAGCAAAAATCTAAATCTCACATAAAGGAGTAAGTCATATGCCTCCAAACATAAAAATCCACACTACAGCAGTGCCCAACATTTGATTGAGTGAAACTTAAGGGAGGTGACATAAGCTTTGAACCGTAAAGCTACAATATTGAACACACACAGTACTAATCTGTTGATATGAAGTTCAAAAATAGGAAAAAGCAGCCTTCAGTGGTAGACAGAGCTTAGTGTCTGAAAAAAGGAGTAGGACCTAGTAGGAAACTTCTTGCCATGATAGCAGTTACATGGTATTGTCATAGGCTTTCCAACCATGTGAAAACATCTAAGTAGAGCAAATACACAGGAAGTGGTTATGAATGCCTATGTGTGCCCAATATTAAATACTAAAGATGTTCTATCAGGATAAACTGCCAAAAAAACAGTAACATCTGGAATCATCTCTGACCTTCTTCTAGCCTTACTCACAGCAAGTTCTGTGGCTCCCCTACAAAATGTATCCTGAATCTGCCTCTTTCCTCCCATCCTCATTTATCACTTTGTCCTATCACTTACTTTCTCTCTTGGTCTCCACAGATACCTATATTCTTGTACACAGACACACAGATATGTGCACATACAAATACACACATACATACTCTCTGTCACATGCACACACACATACACTCTCTCTGACACACACACACACACACACACACACACACACACACACTTAAAAGAACAAAATTGCACCAAATTATCCTTTTCCAGAAGTCCAGCCAGCCAGATGTTCCTGGAGGGTAGCCACCTGCCTGTCTCCTGGTGCTTAGCTCCTTGAGAGGGGGCACCTTGTCTACAGGGTCTGCTGCCAGCACGGAAGGCAGCTTATACCTGGTGCAGATACATGAACATGTCAGAAAGACAGGGAAGCTAGACTCTTACCATGGCTTCTGATGTGGACAGCTGATTCTGCAGCCCAGTTCTGGGAAGATGCTTCCTCTTACTCAACAAGTGCAGCTTCAACTTGCCAAAGAGGATCTTTAACAAAAGCAAATCACAAGTGTGAAAAAAAAAATCCAGATCTGAGAAAATGAACATAACCATCACAGCTACAGCCACTAGTCTGAAGACACGTAACTGTATAGTAAAAGAGGCTTAGCTCCTCATTTATAAAAACTTTGAGTTAATGTATCTCAAAACACCATCACTTGTGAGAACATGAGTAATTTAACATCATTTTCAGACAATATTATAAATTCAAAGTTAACCATCTTTTAAGTTCTTGAGTAAGACACTTAGTTTTTGAAAGGACAAATTTTAATATTACCAACAGGATATGGTGGCCTGTAATCTCAGTACTTTGGAAGGTGAGGCAGAGGGACTGTCATGGTGTGAGTATACAGCCATTGGTTACAGAATGGGTTCTAGGCAAGTCTGGGCTACAGAATGAGACCCTGTCTCAAAACAAATAAATGAAATTGAGCCTTACCTCACGAAGCTGGCTATTACTCGTTATAAGAAACTGTTCTCCTGCAACAAAATGGGCTTCTTGCTCTAGTTCCTTGAGGTGAGCCTGAAAAATTGAAACATTATTCACAGACTTCATGATTTAAAAGAACTTAATCTGTTCATCAAGCTCAACAAAAGCCCTAAATGGAATAAAAACTCATCTGTCACTTACCAAAATGAAGTTTGAAAGCATACATATTGATTTTGTGGTGAAATTTTCAGGCTCATAAATTGCCTTTTCCCAAACCTAGCTAAAACTTTTTTGTTTTGTTTTGTTTTGTTTTGTTTTGAGACAGGGTTTCTCTGTGTAGCCTTGGCTGTCCTGTACTCACTTTGTAGACCAGACTAGCCTTGAACTCCTAGCAATCTGCTTGTCTCTGAATCCATCACTCCTGGCTCCCTAGCTAAAACTTAAAGAAGCAAAAATAAAAGTACACCAAAATGAGAGAGAAAAGAATGTGTTTTTCAGCTCTGTTTGAAGGGATCCAATACTGTAAGAAAAAAGACAGAAAAGGGGGAGGTATAGGTTACAGATTTACACCCATACTAGATCAAGGTGTCCTATAAGTTACTATGAGGAAATAAAAACACAAGTAAAAGACCTCCTAATTCTTCTAATCCTTTAAATCCTTAGTGACTAAGCATTCAAATACACAAGCCTATTGGGGCCATTCTTATTCAAACAATCACATTCTAATCTCTAACCCCCATAGGCTTGCAGGCATATTATAATGCAAAAATGCATTCAGTCCAACTTCAAAAGTCCACATAGTCTATCACTATCTCAACATCGCTTAAAAGTCCAAAATTCAAAGTATCTGAGCTTCATGGCACTTTCTTGTTTGTTTGTTTGTTGTTTTTGAGACAAGGTTTCTCTGTATAGCCTTGGCTGTCCTGGAACTCACTCTATAGACCAGGCTGGCCTCAAACTCAAAAGATCCACTTGTCTCTGCCTCCTGAGTGCTAGGATTAAAAGGTGTGCACCAATACCACCTGGCTTCTTTAAGCTTTTTTAATTCCTTGAGCCCAGTTTTGGCTCCAATATCACCTTTTCTGCTGTTGTTTTTCTCCTCACACAGTGTATTTTATATTTCTTTTTGTCTTAGCTTGCTCTTTTTCACTATAGGTCTAAACAGGAGTGGTCACTAATAACCACAAGATACAGTATCAATACTAGGTTCTCTTGAAATCTCTTCTGCCAATGCCATTAATCCAAAACTCTTCAATTTAACCTTAGGCAGATGTTTTAGGACAAGAGCAAAAAGCATCTATATTCTTTGCCAAAATATCACAAGTATGATTTTTCTAGGCCACTTGCTAATATTCTTCCTCTTGAGCTCAGCCATTATAATTTACATTGCTGTCACTATTATTGTATCCCATGTTTTTACTTGAATGGCCCGATAACTTAAAGCTTAAAGCATTCAACCACTTTTTTAGTCCGAAGTCCCAAAGTCTTCCACATTTCTCCAAACAAACAGCATAGTCAGGTCTGTCACAGAAATACCCCAGTCCCTGGTACCAATGTTCTGTTGCTGTGTAGAGACACCATAACTAAGGCAACTCTTATAAAAGAAAGCATTTAATTGGGAGCTTGTTTACAGTTTCAGAGGTTAGTCCAGTATTATCAGAATAAGGAACATGGTGGCATGCAGGCAGATGTGGTGCTGGAGAAGTAGCTGAGTATTCTTCATCCTGATCCAAGGGCCAAGAGCAGAGACAGTGTGCTTAGCATGGGCTTTTAAAACCTCAAAGCCCACAATCAGGGACACACTTCCCCCAACAAAGCCACACTTCTTAATCTTTCTAATTCTTTCAAATAGTACCATTTCCTGATAATTAAGCTTCCAAATATATAAGCTTGTTGAGACCATTCTTATTCAAACCACTGCAGTGCAGTAGATGTCACTGGTGTGTAAACCCTTCACCACATGGTCTTCCCTTCTAGGAGTCCAGGAAAATGAGAAACAGTATCAACACTGCTGTAGGGCCAATAGGAAAGGGAAGAATCTACTGAGAGCACGAACAATTACATATTCTGAAATACTAGCTTACTCCAAGGAGTGCTGATGTCCTCTTCATTTCTTCTTTGTCAACTGGAATCTTATGGTTTTCCATCACTGTGAGTCAAAGTAAAAAACAGATTATATTTTCAATAGACTAAAAAATCTCACTCTCTGATGAGCTAATGATAACAATATTCATTTACTCAGCTCCCACTCTAAGTCAGCCTCTGCTCTATGAGGAAATAAAAGCGCCACAAGAAGCGGGCTGTTGGGGATACAGAGCACTTGCTCAGCACAAGCCAGGTCCTGGGCTCAGTTCCCAGGTGTGAAGGATGTGGGACTCTATTGGTCCCAGCCTGGCCCTTTGCATACTCTGGATGGAGAGTCACTCCTGGCCCTGCAGCAGGACCTTGTCAAGAGGCAAAGATGGGTAAACGCCCTGGAGGGTACTTAAAGGAAGGGTCTAAAGTGATAGGGAAGAGAAGCACAGAACTGGAGGATTGGCCTGATGTTAAGATAACAGGTGAGTAAATGTCAAGTCCTTCCAGACCAGGGAGTGATACAGCCCAAACCTTCTCGTTGCAGGAAAGAAAATAAGGTGCTAGCAACTTCTTTGGATGAAATACAGTACCCACTCCATTATAGGTTTAAAAAGAAAATTCATTCCTAAACAATTTAAAGTTCCTCCAGAAAGATGACTATACTTTGTTTTTATGGTAACTCACCTGCCAAAATTGGTATCAATGGAAGCTCCAAAGTACAAAATAGTTGCCATAAGCCATAAGCCTGTTTCACAGGAAGAAATAATATCAATATAGCTTTGAGTGATTATCTGCATTTTGTTGAAAAGCTACCCGACTTCGCTGTGTTATGATTAAAGTGACCCCTGTCTAAAGCTGTTTCTCTTACTATCTTCTTAATAAAACTCTTATTTCCATTACAGAGAATATTTCATTACTATCTGAATATCTAGTAAAGATATTCTAAAATTTCACAAGGCCTTTGCTTTCTCACTTTTAGGAGTATCTGTGTGATTTTAGTCTTCCATTTTTACTACAGAATGCCTCACTAAGTACTAGTCATTTCACCTAGTCTTCATTGACCTGCATTGGCCCTGCAGACTAGTCAGGAGAGGTGGAATCTTTATGTTAGGCCACCTGTTTCAAGAGCATGAAATCCCTCCTCTTTTATTCATATCATCTTCCATGTTGTTTATTTATTTATAGGCCCCTACTTATACACACAGTGTTATGCAGTCCAGTCTGGACTCAAACTCTCCATGTAAATGAGGTTGCCCTTGAACTTCCTACTTCCACTTCCTAAGTGCTGGGATTACAGGCTTGTCCATCACACCTGATTTCCTATTATGTTTACTGGAGTTTTTCTTATATTCACTCTTTTCTGCTGTTGCCTAGAGTGCTGGGCCTCATCTTCTAGTTCCCCTCAATTTCTCTGCCTGTCCTTGCACACTAAAGCAGATTGATCCTGTCCAGGACACATCCTCCTCAACCCTTAGACAATTTTCCTGTTTGGGCATATATCTAAGGGCAGGAGAGGAAAGAAGCAGCTTGCGTTAGAGCCAGGAAGGGAAAAGCGTCTAGCTCTAGACTGTCTTGGAAGCTTGTCATCTTGCCAGTCTCCTTCACCTTTGCCTTGGGACATAGTCTTCTTTCCTTTAGCCTCCTTAGTAGTCCCTCCATTGGCTGCAGCTTTCCAATAAGAATCTAACTGAAACAAGCTGGGTGCATTTTGTTGCTAACTAAAATAAATCCTTGGCATCTGAAACACTCTAGTTAAGTGTGAGGCATTGGAACAATTGTTTTCAATATTGGAACATATTTTTTTTTTCGGAACATATTTTTAAAACTGCAGGAATTATCATTTTATTCTTTCCTTTTCTAAGTGAGGCACCGTTTAACTTGGACTTAGGACAAACATCTCACTTCATATTCAAAACACTAAGTGTGAGTCTGGGTATAAGTGAAAACACAGGCCTTACATAGCCAGAAATTACAGTATGAAAAATGCCTTGCCTTCAACTTGGAACAAAGATCCATCGTGAGGTCGTAGAGTATCCTCAGGTTCATGTATACATTCTGATTCTTTAAAATGAATACATTAAAATTTAGATGGACTTAGCACAAATTCTCTTCATAGTCTGGGAACGATATCACTTACAAAAGTGTTTCTAGTGACATGGCAAGATGCTCCTGATGGCTTCTGTGCCAATTACCATTGAAAAGGTCCCTAAAGGTACAAGTCAGACTGTCCACAGGGAGACACTCCCCCGGACCAGCATTTCTTCTTTGTACAGATAGAGAAATAAAACTCCTAATGCCTGTTGCAATGATTAAATGACTGGCAAAACCAGAAACATGGATTTTCAGATCCCACACTTTCTCCTCTATGCTCTGTCACACAGCAACCACTTGATGGATGTTACATTCACACTAACTTATCCATTAACACTCTGGGTAGGTAAATATAGAAGCTCTGAGAAGCCACAAACAGAAGCTATGTTCAAAGAACACAGAGGGAAGATGAGATAAGAAGCATCCTCTAACACACAGTCTGTTCTTCCTTAACCTCTGAGCCATCTCTCCAGCCTTCTGTGTTCTTCCTAACAGGGATCTTTACGGCCTTCTTCTCAGCATCCCACTCTGCCAAGGAGCCCCCAAATCTAGGATGCTCAGATTTACCTTTCTGCTAAATCCTCACATAGGGAGAAACTCAAAGTATGTGGCTGCTGGCTGCACATAGATCCCTACAGAAACCATGCTACTATGGTTCTCTGGTCATTTCCTAAACTTGGCTCTCCCATGAACAACTCAGGAAATATGAGGCAGAGAACCATATCTATGGCACCACATAGAACAATCCCACCTGGCTTCCTGCAGCTCTTCCAACTCCAAAGTGATCACAAGCTTCCTCTTTGAACCATTCCAAGACAGGCCTGTTCCTTGGCATGGCACAGCCCCTTGAGAACTCTTCATGCACCTAGATCCCCAAGTCTTCTTTTTCCTTCCTAAACTGTCCTTGTTATCCTCACTAAGGAGCTAATTTTCTAGGAGGGCTGCTGTTCTCATGCCATTCCTTCTATCTGAGCTCCTTTTCATCCTCAAATCACCTCTTCAGAGTGGCACAGAAGCAGATTCCTTAAGGGCCAACTTCAATCTCTCACTCCCATGTGCTGCAAGGCTCTCCCATGGCCATATCTGGCCAACAACCATGACTGAAACTGCATTTGAAGCTGCCTCTTATCCTCATGAGGCAAGAACAAAGGGCCTTAGGAACAGAGAGTAGAAGTCCAGACCTGGCTCAACAGCATCACTAAGCACTGTGACAGCCTGCATTAGAGAGCACACCCTCTATAGCTGATTTTCATTCCATGCAGCCATCTTATCCCAGAATAATATGTGAGAATAATAAGAAACTAGACTTAGTCATAAATCCAAACTGAACCATGGCGTCAACTATGCCTTGGGTAAGACGAGTGAACAGTAATATGTGCGTACCTAGTATTCCCCTCTGTGAATTAGGACTGATAATACTATTGGTGGTCACTAGTGGACAATTTCTTGTCATATTTCAGCTTGTTAGGCAATCTTTGCCTGACTGAGTAAGATTCTAATCACCAGTAAGAGAAAAGGGATACTTTCCAAGTGCTAAAACAGAATCTTGTCTCCTGCATGGCCACTGTCCCCAGGCTGCCAGGATCAGATTCCCATTCTTGCAAGAACTGTACATTTTTCTCTCATTTGGCAAACTATTTCATGACCTTCTGTTATATCTCTTTTTAAATTCAAAGATATGGTGTTTCTGGTATTTACAGTATACCCCTATGGGACACAGATCCACACTGCACACATGGTAGTTATGAATATGAAGGGCAGGGTGTGCAGGCTCTCACATGTGCTGCTGTACCTTTGGCCCATCTGAGTGCTCACTGAAGTGTCACACCATGTGGCTGAATAGAGAGTCCTGGTTGTGACACTGTTCCCCAACACCTCTACTTCAGGAAAGGTAACTCCTGAAGACAAGGGGCACCTTCAGCACAAGAGGGCTTTGGAAAACACACCTTGTCCTTTCTACCTAGACTGAGGTGGCTGTCCCAGAAAGTCAGACAACAAGAACACGTCACCAGAAGGATTTACAAAAGGTCAGTTTTCTGCTCACAGAGGAGGTGCTACTGACACTGGAGAATCCATAGAAGAGCTACACTCTAATGTGACATCCCTGGAAGTCTCTCATGTTTATTCATTAACCTCTATCAGAAACACCTCAGCCAACAGAATTTGGATAGAACAAATGAAATGTAAATGGGTTCTGGCAATATCGTTGTTACTATTAGATTATCTACAAAGTAAAAAAAAAAAAAAGTCAGGGTCGTATTAAGGTAGATAGAACCTCATCTTAAACGTCTTACCACAGTATTTCTTGAGGCATCACCAAATATACTGCTTGGTTTGATTATGATGGACTTTTCTAGGTGTTTTGCCACTAAATCTTCAAATGAAGGTGCAGTGTCACTAGGATCTATGAGCCATGCAGCAACTCTGGGATCTAGTCCTACAAAACCAGCCACTGCAGAGGAAAAGGTTACTTAGTATTCCCCTCAACCACAAACAATTGTTGCTTTCCCCATCTTTACACTAAGCCAAGAGTTTTCCACAAGTATGAAACACAAATGACTGAGAAACACTTAAAGAAATGTTCAACATCCTTTCCATCAGAGAAATGCAAATTAAAACTACTTTGAGATTTCATGTTACCCCAGTCAGAATGTGCAAAATCAATAAAACAATTGACAGCACATGTTGGCAAGGATGCCGGCAAAGAAGAACATTTATTTATTGCTATGGGAGCGCACCTTAGTATAAACAGTGTGGAAATATGTATGGCGGTTCCTCAGGCAGTTGGGGATAGATATACCTCATGAGCCAGCTATACCACTCTTGGGCATATACCCAAAGAACTTTCCATCTTACTATAAAGATACTTGCTCAGTTATGTTCACTGATGTACTATTCATAATTGCCAGAAATTGGAAAAAGCCAAGATGTCCATCAACTGATAAATTGAAAATGAAAATGTGGTACATTTACATAATTGAATATTATTCGGCTGTTAAGAACCAGTGAAATTTTGAAGTCTGCAGGTAAATGAATGGAGCTAGAGAAAAAAATCCCAACTGAATAACCCAGACCCAAAATAGACAAATATTACATATTTTATCCTATATGTGGATGTTCAACTTTTGATATGTGTGCTAAAAATTCAAATAACCAAAGACATTAAGAACCTAGTAAGGGGTCAGAGGGATGGAGAGGATCTTCCTAGGAAGGGGAAGTAGAATATAGTGTTATGGGGGAAAGAGGGGAAACTAGAATAGAGGGATTAATGGAAAGGAGGATGGGAGATCAGAGTCCAGGAGTTATGGATAGGAATACCTTACACTAAAGGCCTTTGAAAATCCATATAGAAACCCATTACTGTAGAAGCTTCTTAATATATACATATAAGAAAGGAGTCTAAATGGAATCACCATATAATGGGGGAGACGATGTCCCAACTAGATAACTTATGTCACCAGTTAAAACTTCCAGTGCCAGGAATGGGTTCCATATTTTTGAGTTGTTAGCTAAAGAGGTCCATGGAACCCCCCAAATATCACAGGCCATTGCCAAGGCCATTGATTGCTTTCCACAGTGAATGGTAAGGCACTATTGTTGAAAACAACACTTACTTATTTTACTGAACATGTAGAAATGCAGCAGGTGCCAAACTAGAAGCTTAACCCCTACTGTGTTCATGATACTAGAAGGTACTCTGCACTCTACCAGAAGATAAAGGCCATCGTCAGTATCACCCAGCTACAAACCCTGTTACCTACAACAGCAATCTGCCTAGAAGATATTCTGATACAACAGTGGCACAAAAGTTATGAGAGTGCTCTTTGATTGTATTTAAGGCCCACTCCATGAGATGGGCCCCACACCTGACCCTGCTAAAGTGCCAACAACCAGAAAACAACCGTGGGCCCTGTGGAAAACATATTGTTCTGCTAAAAAACATGTCAATAAAATGATTCCTAATAACATATTCATATACCCATCAATTAGTACCTCGTTCAGCCCTAATCAGAGAAGCTTCTTCATGCAGTCGATGGGAATTTAACAGAGAGACCCATGATTAGACAATGTGCACAGAGTGAGAGACTTTGGAGTGCTCAGTCCTAAATGGAACATCTTATCAAATCCTCCCCTCAAGACTCAGGGATCCTTGAGTCAGAGAACGCAAAAAGATTGTAAGAACCAGAGATGAGGACTGACTCCAAGGAAACTGTGTTACAGACACAACAAGACTGATACACATATGAACCCACAGAGACTGTGGAAGTACACACAGGACCTGCACAGGCGCAAGCCAAACACTGTCCCACCACTAATAGGGGGACGTGAACAGAGGGTTCCTTCCCTAACCAAGAAGCTATCGGTGACTGCTACCTGTTAGCAAAGAGCAAATCTGTCTTCTACCACGGAGTGTCACTGGGTATATCAACCACACTCTAGGGCAAGCCTCATGGGCACGAGTAGTGGGCCAATAAAAAATAAACTCCATGCTTTGTTTGTTTGTTTGTTTGTTTTTTGTGAACTTCTGTTTCATTTTGTTTTGGAACTTTTCATCTTACAGGTTTTTGGTTCAACTGTTTTTTTAATTTTCTATTTTTTTGTGGCAGGTTTTTTTTGAGAGAAAACACAAAATTGGTTAAGTAAGGAGGTAGGGGAAGATCTAAATAAGAAAGGAGGGGTTGGAGAAGGGAAACAATTAAAATATATTGTATGAAAAAAATAAAAAGAAACAAAAAAGATTAATTTTCCAATGAATACTATTTTGCTATTCCCTCAAATTACAGGATTAAGTACTCCTATAACTATTATTTTTATTTATTATTATTTATTACAATTTATGCACTTTGTATCCTGGCTGTGGCCCCCTCCCTCATCTCTTCCCAATCCTACCCTTCTTCTTCTCTCCCTATACTCCTTCCCCAGTCCACTGATAGGGGTGGTCCTCCTCCCTTTCCATCTGACCCTAGCCTATCAGGTCTCAATAGGACTAGTTGCATTGTCTTCCTCTGTGGCCTGGCAAGGCTGCACCCCCTCCCCCAGGGAGGGTGATCAGAGAGCCTGCTACTGAGTTCATGTCAGAGACAGCCCCTGCTCCCCTTACTAGGGAACCCACTTGGAGACTGAGTCTATGGGCTATATCTGAGCAGGGGTCCTCTCCATGCATGGTCCTTCATTGGGGAATCAATCTCTGCAGAGCCCTCAGGACCAGTTTTCTTGTTTTGTTTTTTTGCTCTGTTGGTCTCCTTTTGCAGCTCCTGTCCCCTGTCTCCCTCCAGGTCTTTCTATCCCCCCACCCCTTCTTTCATAAAATTCCACGCACAAAACTAAAGTCCAAGTGGATCAAAGACCTCAACATAAAACCAGACACACTAAACCTGTTAGAAGAAAAAGTGGGGAAAAACCTGGAACTCACTGGCACAGAGACAACTTCCTGAACAGAGCACCAACAATACAGGCTCTAAGATCTTTTTTTTTTTGTCTTTTTTAAATATAATTTTTATTTATTACAATTTATTCATTTTGTATCCCAGCTGTAGCCCCACCCTCACCCCCTCCAAATTCTGCCCCCCTCCCTTCCTCATTTCCTCCCTGCCCCTTCCCCAGTTCACTGATAGTGGAGGACCTCCTCTCCTTCCATCCGACCATAGCTTATCAGTTCCCATCAGGACTGTTATTCACAGTCTTACTCTGTGGCCTGGTAAGGCTGCTCCCCCCTTAGGGGGAGGTGATCAGAGAGCCAGCCCCTGTTCCCCTTACTAGGGAACTCACTTGGAGACTGAGCTGCCATGGGCTACCTCTGTGCAAGGGTTCTAGCTTATCTCCATGAATGGTCCTTGGTTGGAGTATAAGTCTCAGAAAAGACCCCTAGGCCCAGGTTTTTTGGTTCTGTTGTTCTCTTTGTAGAGCTCCAGACCCTTCCAGGTCTTTCTATTTCCCCCTTCTTTCATAAGATTCCCTGACTCTACCCAAAGTTTGGCTATGAGTCTCAGCATCTGCTTTAATACCCTGCTGGGTAGAGCCTTTCAGAGGCCTTCTGTGGTAGGCTCCTGTCGTGTTCCTTGTTTTCACCTTCTTCCGATGCCTATCCCTTTTGCCTTTCTGAATGAAGATTGAGCATCTTATCCAGGGCGCTCCTTCTTGATTATCTTTCTTAGGTGTACAGATTTTAGTATGATTATCCTATATTATATGTCTAATACCCACTTATAAGTGAGTATATACCATGTGTGTCTTTCTGCTTCTGGGATACCTCACTCAGGATGATTTTTTCTAGATCCCACCACTTGCCTGCAAATTTCATGATTTCCTTGTTTTTCATTGCTGAGTAGTATTCCATTGTGTAAATGTATCACAATTTCTGTATCCATTCCTCAACTGAGGGACATCTGGGTTGTTTCCAGGTTCTGGCTATTACAAATAAAGCTGCTATGAACATGGTTGAGCAAACGTCCTTGTATACTTGAGCATCTTTTGGAGTGCTATAGCTGGATCTTGAGGAAGCAGTGTTCCTAATAGTCTGCGAAAGCACCAGCTCGATTTCCAAAGTGGTTGTACAAGTTTACATTCCCACCAGCAATGGAGGAGGATTCCCCTTTCTCCACATCCTCTCGAGCATGTGTTGTCACTTGAGGTTTTTTATCTTAGCCATTCTGATGGGTGTAAGGTGAAATCTCAGGGTCATTTTGATTCACATTTCCCTGATGACTAAGGATGTTGAGCATTTCTTTAAGTGTTTCTCTGCCATTCGGTATTCCTCTATTGAGAATTCTCTGTTTAGCTCAATTGGACTGCCTGATTTGTTGCTGTTTAACTTCTTGAGTTTTTTATATATTCTGGATATTAGCCCTTTGTCAGATATAGGGTTGGTGAAGATCCTTTCCCAATCTGTAGACTGTCGTTTTGTTCTGACGACAGTGTTCTTTGCTTTACAGAAGATTTTCAGTTTCATGAGGTCCCATTTATTGATTGTTGCTCTTAGAGCCTGTGCTGTTGGTATTCTGTTCAGGAAGTTGTCTCCTGTGCCAATGAGTTCCAGGCTCTTCCCTACTTTTTCTTCTAACAGGTTTAGTGTGTCTGGTTTTATGTTGAGGTCTTTGATCCACTTGGACTTTAGTTTTAGGCAGGGTGATAAGTATGGATCTACTTGCATTTTTCTACATGTAGATATCCAGTTAGACCAGCACCATTTGTTGAAGATGCTATCTTTTTTCCATTGTAAGGTTTTGGCATCTTTGTCAAAAATAAGGTGTCCATAAATGTGTGGATTTATTTCCGGGTCTTTGATTACATTGATCCACCAACCTGTTTCTATGCTAGAATCATGCAGTTTTTATCATCGTTGCTCTATAGAATACCTTCAAAGGATCTTTTATTGTAGAAGAGTGTTTTAGCCATTCTGGGTTTCTTGTTATTCCATATGAAGTTGAGACTTTTCTTCCAAGGTCTGTAAAGAATTGTGTTGGTAATTTGATGGGAATTGCATTGAATCTGTAGATTGCTTTTGGTAAGATAGCCATTTTTACTATGTTAATCCTGCCAAGCCATGAGCATAGGAGTTTTCCATCTTTTGATATCTTCTTCTATTTCTTTCTTCAGAGACTGGAAGTTTTTTTCACATAAATCTTTGACTTGCTTGGTTAGAGTTACACTATGGTACTTTATGTCCTTTGTGGCTATTGTGAAGGGTGTTGTTTCCCTAATTTCTTTCTCAGCCCATTTGAACTATTATTTATTAAGAATTTTTTATACATCTTTATGTATGATGTGTGTATTTATCCGTGTGTATTTATTTGTACATGTGCAAGTGCATGCATGTGAAGCAGATGTCAGCAATCTTCTTCAGGTACTCTCTATCTTATTTACTAAGGCAAGGTCTCTCAATTGAACTCATAGCTCCTTAATATTGCTCTCTAGCTAGCCAGCTTGTTCTAGAGACCTTTGCTCTACCTTCTGAGTATACTGAAAGAGCAGGCTACCTTCACACCTACTCAACAATTACATGGGTCCTAGGGACTTGAACTCCCATCCTCACATTCACACAGTAAGCACTTTACTAGCTGAGCCAGCTCCATAGCTCTCTTCAAGAATGTCTGCCTTGTTGGAAGGTGGCTGGATACACCCAGATCCTACATGGCTGGTTGATGTGGGCATCACATTAAAGAAATGGAATCCAAACAGCTAAGAATGGATAGAGAGCTCAAGTACACTTGGAAAATGGCTGTCTCAATAATACAAGAGACTGAAGTTAGAAATTTTGGCCCATGTCCCTGTTTTTCTCTTCCTATGTGAGCTTTTCAGCCATTATAGGTAGTAGATCTTTTCTTCCACTTTTCCCCCTGTCTTTCCAGGCCACACATAATACTTCGTCATGGTCTCAGAGTCATGCCTCCTGAGTCAAGGAATAAGGGGAGTAGCTACATCAGCTCACCTAGTTTCCCTGTCACTGTGTCAGAGCAAGTAGGCGGTATAGGCCAGGCAAAATGGTATTTCCTGACATAAGATAGTTCAATGAGGTAGCTAAAAACAAAAAGGAGCTGACTTTTAAATAAGATTATATTCTTGGATCACATCACACTAAATGCCAGATTGTCTGGTATTCTTAAGTTATTATACTAGCCAGAGAGTGTCAAGACTTTTCTATATTATGTCAGAGACTACAGATATAGGCAGATTTGGAACTTTGGATGAGATGAAATAGTCATTTTGGCTGCTTCTGCCCCAGCAAAGTTGACTTTATATGACACTGTCTGGTAACACTGACTGACCTCTGACATTCCAAAGGTAAGAGTTCTACAGAAAGATCTTTTGAAAAGACCTTGGGAGATTGGACAGTATCAGAATGTTCTGGGTGCTGATCCTGTCAACTGACGAACAGAAGCCTGCCAGGACAAATCTCTATTTTTTTTTTTTGGTTCTTTTTTTTTTTTTTTTTTTTTTTTTTTGGCGGGTGGGGAGTCTGTCCATAGTGTTCTCCATAGTGGCCATATTATGGATTTGCCTTCTGTGCTCTCCACCATTTATTTAAACAAAAATGTAGGTTTTATTCTGTCACACATATCGTTGATGACTATAAAGCTGACTTTTCTTGACTTGAGGAACTTTGAGCTGCTACATACTCACGCTGAGCATTTTCTGCCCTGTACTCAACCATTTCCCAAGGAATCTGTTACCATATACAAGTATATATTACATATAAGTACCATATATAAGTACATATGTAAGTATTTATTATTTAAACATTATTAATACTTAAATAGCAGTAAAACCAGCCCACATGCTCTTCATGGCCATACTTTAAAAGTATTTTGTATCAAGTTTTGCTGACTCTGTGGAACAATTCATTAGTTTGAAAGTAAGTTAAAAAAAAAATACAACTAAATTTCCAGCCAGAAGTTTCCATCTCAAGTTCACTTAGGCAAATAGTGAGTGGCTTCTGTTTATTGAACTAGTCTAGTTAACAAATGAAGAAAAATGGACCGGGGTGACAGCCCAGTGGTCAAAGTGCTTGCCTTACAAGCCTGAGGACCAGAATTCAAATTCCCAAACCCACGTAAATCCAGATGGGTGTGGCAGCACGCCTGTAATTCAGAGATAGGGTTTCCAGAGCAAGCTGGCTAGTCATTTCTCCCAACTCTTGTTTTGACGGAGGCTATACCTCAATGAATAAGGTAGAAGACCAATTAAAGATAATTCCTAGCATCAACTTCAGGGTCTACATGTATGCACATACACATATATACACCCCCCATGTCCTCCAAACAAACACACATAAAAATGGAAAAAGAAAAAAATGAAGTATAATAGATTTTTAATCTTACCAGGTTGCAATTAAGAACTTAGACAATGACAATCTATAGCTTCTACCATCGCAAAACAAACAAAAAACTAAGAGCATCTCAGGGCAAGTGTGGGAGATGGAATACTGTCAGGACAGCTAATAATGCAGAGATTACTGCTTACTCTGGGGAAGGTTGATTGATTGTATTGTTTGCATGTGGGATCCTCACAGAACAGAAATACCAGAGCTTAATCTTATAATATTTGAGATTTGTTATAAAATACTGAAAAGTCTGTGGTTTGAAAAACAGAGAGTTACGAAAGAAAAAAAATCAGCTGTAAGTCCAATCTTGATCAAACTTTGATGAATAATTTCATGTATGTTAGAAATTGATTATAATAAAAATTTTCTCAACATTTTATTATGAGTATTTTAAAATGCAGAAAAACATACAGTTAAAACTCAAGGATTCTGGGGCTGGAGAGGTGGCTCAGAGATTAAGAGTACTGACTGTTCTTCTAGAGGTCCTGAGTTCAATTCCCATGGCTTTAATTTTTTTTTCTCTCTCTCTCTGGTTTTTCAAGACAAGGTTTCTTTGTATAGTCTTGGCTGTAAATGGAACTCACTCTGTAGACCAAGCTGACCTCAAACTCAGAGACCTTCTGGTCTCTGCTTACTGAGTACTGGGATTAAAGGTGTACAACTATTCCCTGTTCTCTTAAAGATACTATATGCCCTGCATGGTTTTGTTTCTGTGTTGTAGTTTAATTCTTAGTGTCTGTAGCTATTGGTGGTAATAACAAGGCCCGTTGTGACTGTGCTTCAGTGGTCATTCCTTACACCAAAGGAGTATAAGCTGGTACAAATGAAAGCATAACCCAGACACATCAGTGGAAGTGCCTTTTCCTGCTCATAGGTGAAAACGTGCTGTCTGTGTGGCTAGGAGTCCTGGAGCAGGTGACATGGTGTCTTAGGGACAATGAGAATGGTGGCTTACCATGCTTCCAGCTGTCTTCTTCACCATAGAACTGCAGTACTGTTTTCACAAAGTCCTTGGCATTAAAACAAACAATGGGGCATTTACATGTAAGTGTCCAAAACAGCATGTTCCTAACAAGAGAAAATTTATATTTAGACAGTAATTCAGATCTTGGAAAAATACTGTAATATCAAATATCCAGCTATCCTTATGCAGCATATGCATAACTTGATTAATTAAAGAATCTTGTGAGGTGAGCATTGCTTCTTATGTACAGTTTATACACTATGAAGCTTGGACTCAGGGCTTATCCCTGAGCAAAGCTTCTTCTCCTGAATCTCCTATACAGAGTACACACACTGGACCTGGCCCAAGCCCCTCCAAGCACCCCACCTCTCAGCTTGCCAGGTCTTCCTTCTGCCATTTCACTATGGCACTTTCTACCCATACTGCTGGAGATGGCATATGCTCCTTGTCTACTCTTTTCCTCCCACAACTGTGCAACCTGCTCAAGGGATGGTCTGGGCAAGCCGCCTACCCACACATCCTTCACAGAAAGACCCACATATGCTAAACTGCAGCTTCTTCCATCACCCCCTGAGCTTCTGAATGTGGGGTAACCGTTAATATTACCGTATGTGTATGTGTGTAGCTATCAGGCTAACATTTCACAAGGTTGCCACACTGAAACTTAATCACAGTCCTACAAGGCAGGAACTCCATCCAGTATACAGACGAAGAGACATGGTTCAGAGATGTCACATCTAGTAGATGGTAAGGTTGGGTTCTGATACTGTATCTCACTACTGACAGAAGATAAGCCATGAACCACCAAACTAAAAGTTCCTCTTCATGGAAAAGTACAATAATAATACATTAAAAGAGCTCTTTGATGGAATAAGAAAAAAAGTAACCAGGAGCCCAGTGGGCATGTACACGGGGTGATATTTCATTGGGTTTTGCTTGTCTGGCTCTATTGATAGACACTATATAATGTTTTAAAAGTTATATGCTTTGACCTTGGTTTGTTTCAACAGAAGGCCAGGTTGATAGGGAGATCAAAGTGTCAAAAGCACTGGCTCTTGGCTTAGATAATACTGGGAATGGACATAGGGAAGGGAAGGGAAGAAGTGAAGAATGATAGAAAAATGGGGTACGTGGACTTCCCTGACATGTGCTGAAACACAAATCCAGGATGGAGTGATCTAAAAGCTACATTGTCTTCTCCTAGGGAGAAACTCAGGCTGGCTTAAGTCTATCTTGGTAAGACAAGCAGAAGAAGTGTTTCTTGTGGCTGGGGCATGGCTCAGTGGAAAAATCACTTGCCACATAAGCATAAGGACTAGACTTCAAATTCTATTATAATTTACTTTCTGTTGCTAAGATAAAACACCCTAACATAAAACAACTTAGGAAGAACAGGGTTTATTTAATCTTACAAGTTATAGTCCATCATCAAGGAAAGTCAAGGCAGGAACCTGGAGGTAGGAACTGAAGTGGAGACCAAAAAGGTATGACTGTTTGCTGGCTTGCACCAGGTTCATATTCAGATACCTTTCTTTCTTTTCTTTTCTTTTTTTTCAAGACAGGGTTTCTATGTGTAGCCCTGGCTGTCCTAGACTCATTCTGTAGACCAGACTGGCCTTTAACTCACAGAGATCCACTTGCCTCTGCCTCCCTGAGTGCTGAGATTACAGGTGAATGCCACCTCAACAGGCTCAAATATCTCTCTTTTAAAAAATATTTATTTATTATGTATACAATGTTCTGCCTGCAGGAGCACCAGAAGAGAGCACTGATCTCATTATAGATGGTTGTTGAGTTACCATGTGGTTATTGGGAATTGAACTCAGGACCTCTGGAAGGTAAGCCAATGCTCTTAAGCCCTGAGCCATCTCTCTAGCCCCCAAATATCTTTCTTATATAGCCCAGATCTACCTGCCCAGAGATGGTACCACCCATAGTGGGATGGCCCCTCCTATATCAATTAGCAATTAAACAAGTGCCTCATAGACATGATCAGAGTCCAGTTTGATCAAGGCAATTCTTCAGTTGAGGTTCCCTCTTCCCAGGTAACTCTAGGTTTGTGTCAAGTTGACAGCTGAAGCTAACCATGACAGATCAAAGATCCCTATGTAAATGCTTTGTGGCCTGCTTGTAATTCCAGCACTTGGGAGGCAGGGATCCTATGGCAAGCTGGCTAGCTAGACTAATTAGGATATATAAGCTCTACATTCAGCAAGAGACCCTGCCTCGAGTTAGCAAGACCTGGAGAGGACAGGAGCTCCACAAGGACCAAATATATCTGGGCACAGGAGCTTGTCTGAGACTGATTCTCTAACCATGGACCATGCATGGATATAACCTAGAACCCCTGCTTGGATGTAGCCCATGGCAGCTCAGTATCCAAGTGGGTTCTCTAGTAAAGGGAACAGGGACTGTCTCTGACATGAACTCAGTGGCTAGCTCTTTGACCTCCTCATCCCCCGGTGGGAAGAGTAGCCTAGCTAGGCCACAGAGAAGGACATTGCAGCCAGTTCTGGTGAGACCTGATAAGCTAGGGTCAGACGGAAGGGGAGGAAGACCTCCCCTATCAGTGGACTTAGAGAGGGACAGGGAGGAGACAAGGGAGGGAGGGTGAGATTGGGAGGGAATGAGGGAGGGGGCTACAGCTGGGATACAAAGTAAATAAACTAATTAATATAAAAAATAAAAATTTAATGAAAAATATTTCTATACTAAAAGATGGAAGTGTTCTGATACAAATAGTAATTAAAGAGCTTTTGGCCAATTGGTTAAAAAAAAAGACCCTGCCTCAATAAAATAAAATGTACACATACATGTGCATGTGTGTATACATGAAAACACCTACACACACTCATAAACATGCAAAATATCTTAAAATATATTTTTGAATATATTTATAAAGTATGATTTAAGTTCATTTTGAATCCTAAATATGCTACTGTAGAATTGGGACTATTCCAGTTTTATAGTACATGAGGGATTATCTTTCCTCGAACTTAACATGCCTCAAAATGAGACTGATAAATATTCATGTTTTTTCCTGTGGCAGTGCTCCTGGGTGTGGAGTCATGAAACTGAAAGGATCAAAATCCTGCCTTCACCCTCACTGAGATTAGGATACAATAAACAAAGTAAGACTTGTGAATGGTAGTGGTGACAGGCATTATAGAGAAATGTGGGCTGAAGAGATGGCATAGCCATTAAAGGCTATGCTCACAACCAAAAATATAAAAGAAATTGAAGATGGTGATTGTATATGGTGCTGAGCTAAGGTATTGTTTTATTCAGATGTTTAGGAAAGGCCTAAATGATAAAATAACACATGAGTGAAAATATGATAAGGTGAGCAAAGTCTAGTTGATAAGGAAAAGCTTTTCACAGAAAACTTTAATTAAAGTGTAAAGAAAATTAAAGAGCTAGAAGTCTCTATCATGTTAGGCATAATTAAATAAAGCTCATTTAGTTCATAACTGCAGCAGCAAAGTCCAAGAAGCATGGCACTGGCTTGATCAGGGGCCCCTTGCAGCATCACAGCATGAAGAGAATCATTCAAGGACAGAAGAGGTCGAGCACATGGTGTCCTCATCTCAACCCACCAGTGTGAAAACAGCTCTAACCCCCTCAGGAGGGAGGAGCCCCTATGACCTACCAATCACCTGCTGAGTCCTTTCTCTTAAGGGCCTACTATCTCAAAACAGCCATTTGGGGAACCGAGCCTATATCAGAAAAAAGGTTTGTTAAACAAACCACACTCAAGCCACATTTTCAGACAGGCACTATCCTTAGTGACACTGAAGACAACTTAGTCTTTCAGGCAGTGATAACACATCTCCTATGCTGTAAGGGAGGAAACCAGAATGGTAGTGAAAATTACCTGGAATCCTGGTAGTGGCAGCAGTAGTGGCAGGATAGAGGGCAAGGCTTCCCCCTAACATCTTATTGCAAAGTTGTCACAATGCTGGAACAGGCTCCCTTGGCATTAGGATGGACTCCATCCCAGAGACTCTGAGGGAGATGACCACTGCTTTTGTGTGTGTGTGTGTGTGTGTGTGTGTGTTTTCCTTCAAAATTAATTTCATGGACCGGGCACAGTGATGCATACCTGTAACCCCAGCACTTGGGGAGGTATAGGCAGGTGTATCTCTGTGAGTTCAAGACCAGTCTAGTCTACAGTGCAAGTCCAGGACAGCCAAGGATACACAGAGAAATCATGTCTCTGTCTCAAAACACAAACACATACACATACACACACACACACACACACACACACACACACACACACACACACACAATTATTTTCATGGGCCAAAGAAGTGGCTCAGTGGTTAAGAGCACTTGCTGTTCTTTCAGAGGTCCTGAGTTCAATTCCTAATACCCACATGATAGCTCACAATCATCTATAACTGTAGTCTCATGGGATCAAATAATCTCTTCTGGTATACATATAAGTGTATATGGAGATAAAACATCTACATATATAAAATAATCTTAAAATTATTTTCATGTTAATAAAGAATTTAAAAAATTATTTTCATGTGTTCACAAAAACTAAAAGTTTAAATAGTTAAAACTGGAGGTTGGAAAGTTTTAAACTTAATATGATAAATAAAGACTTTCTTACCTGACAAATAGACTATGTGCTTCTTGCTTTGGACCCCAGAAAGGGGAATGCTCAGTATGTATGTAGATACAATGATCTGTGGATCTGAAGTCTTCTCCCAGAGCACCACCACAGGCTGGGGGAATCAGGGGGCTTCTGTCTACATGGTTTTTCAGTAATACCATGATTCCTTTAACAGGACAAGTTAAGGTCTGTGAAGACACAGCAATACAAAAGTCACAAAATTAAGCAGCTATATTGCTTTATAAGAGCAAGCTATAACACAAAGAAGTAACATCTATAATGAAACTTTTGAAAAGAATCTCTGCTGTGCATGTGAAGTCCAGGTACAGACACAGCACAGCACACACATAGAAATCAGAAGACAACTGGGGTGTTGGTTTCCATTTTCCACTTGTTCAAGACAGGGTTTCTTGCTGCTTGCTGCTGTGTGCCAGGCTAACTGGCACTTGAACTTCAAGTGATTCTCTTGTATGTGCCTCCCATCTTACCACAGGAACCCTGGGATTATAAACACATGCTATAGTAGCCACCTTTATATATAAGTTCTGGGGTCCATACTCAGGTCTTCATGCTGGAACAGCAATCCCTTTGTCCACTGAGCCATCTCCCCATCCTCCAACTGATTTGTTTTTGTTTTTGTTTTTGTTTTTGTTTTTGTTTTTGAGACAGGGTTTCTCTGTATAACAGTCCTGGCTGCCCTGGAACCTGCTTTGCAGACCAGGCTAGCCTCTAACTCACAGAGATCCACCTGCCTCTTCCTCTCAAGTGCTGAGATTAAAGGCATACACCACTACGCTCGGCCCCACCAACTGATTTTTATTTTTAGGTAGGGTCATCTGTGTAGCCCAGGCTGACCTAGAATGCCTGCCACTCCTGCCCTAGCCTCCCAAGTTTTAGGATTATAGGCATGCACCATTAAACCTAGGTCTCAACTAATATTCTCTACTCAACAAGATAGCTTTCAAAAACAGAAATCAAGCATTTCAGGACTCTGATCCCTGGTCTGGTTTCTAAATGATTTTAGGGCTACCTTTCAGAGAAGGGCAAGTTACAAGTAGCCTTGATTAGGCTCTGTGGAGGCCCAGATGGAAAAGCTATTTCTCTGACCTGGGTGGAGACCTAACATTCCAAGATAGCAAAAACATGAGAGTCAATGCAATGGGGCCAGTAAATCAATCACCTGACAAGGGACCATCTCTCAGGAAGGCAGGTTTACCTTAAGCCATGCTAAGTACACAAAAGGAATAATTATCTCTTTAAAAAATGTCTTAATTGTTTTCTTTATTGGTGGTGATATAGAACTTGGAAAAGTACATTAGTCTTTTGTAGTGTTTGTTTTTAAAACTGTACTTTATTTGGGGTGTCTACCTCCTTTCCAACCTCCCAACCCTACATAGAAGAGAGAAGGTTACTGGGGAGAGGGGGCACAGATCCCTTTACTTCCCTGGCTGTTTAGGGTCAGTGGGTCTTTGGGGGATATACCAATCTCTGTCAACAGCAAATGCAGCCAACAGTCTCCTCCAAGCCACTGTGCCCTGAAGCATTTCTCTCCATCTGTCTCCTCCAAACCACTACACTATACTTCTCTCTGGTCTCTCCAAACTGCTACATGCCACCCCCTCTCTTTCTCTGAACCCTCATATTTACATCTTCAAATCCCTAGACCATGTCCCTGTTTGTGCCATGCAAGACACAAGGTAGGCCTTACCATCTGGCAAAAGCCTCACCCTACACGAGACAATTAACAGCGGTGGGCAAACTAGCCCAACTAAAATCCCACACCTGGGGCCTGCCCTACTCTCTCATGGAACTATATGGTTTCCAAAATAGACTATATAGTTGGTCACAAAGCAAGCCTCACCAGATACAAGAAGATTGAAATAATCCCTTATATCCTATCAGACCACCATGAACTAAAACTGGACCTCAACAACAGAAATAGCAAACAGCCTGCACACACATGGAAACTGAACAACTCACTACTCAATGACAGCTGGGTCACGGAAGAAATAAAAAAGAAATTAAAGACTTCAATGAAAATGGGTATGTTGATACCCAAACTTATGGGACAGGAAGAAAGCAGTGCTAAGAGGAAAGTTCCTAGCACTAAGTGCCTTCATAAAGAAATTCGAAATATCTTATACAAGCTACTTAACAGCTCACCTGAAAGCTCTAGAAAAAAAAAAAAAAAAAGAAGCAGACACACCCAAGAGCAGCAGAAGGCTGGAAATAATCAAACTCAGGGATGAAATCAATAAACTAGAAACAAAGAGAACAATTCAAAGAATCAATGAAACCAAGAGCTGGTTCTTTGAGCAAATCAACAAGATAGACAAACTAACTGAAAGGCATAGAGACACTATCCAAATCAACTTTTTCTTTTCTTTTGTCTTTGTTCTAAGTATGCTTTTCCCATCATTTTGGGATCCCTTAGCATTTCTCTATTGTTCCTAGCAACTTATCTGCAATGTAGCTGAACTCCAGGCTAGCCTAACTCAAGTGCCATGGCTTTCTCCCTCTTCAATATCTCATTCCTCTGGGCAGTTGCCAGTTTTCTTCAGTTTTCTTTAGTTTCATTTAAACTAAATTGTCCTTGAGATTTTAGAAAAGGGGAAGTTTCCCCATCCAAACAAAACATAAAGAAAGATTCAACACAATTTGTATCAAGACCCTAGCTTGATGTCTGCAGAAATTGATGACATAATGAAATAATGATAACATTTATATGGAGATGCAAAGGTACTCCAATAGCCAAAATAACTTTGAAAAAGATCAACTTTGAAAAAGATGGAAGAGTTGCACTTTGTGATTTCTAAATTTCTTACAAACCTAAGTAATCAAGACAGTATGCTTTCTAGGGTAAGACTGACACAAAGATTAAAGGAAAGAATCAAACATATGGAAATCAAGCCTTAGACACTGGGCTGAAGTAGCATACACTTATATCCCAGTATTCAGAAAGCTGAGGCAAGAGGATGGTCATGAGTTTGACTTCAAGGCCAGCCTTGGGTATAGAGCGAAACTTTGCCTCAAACAAAACAAAAACAAAGTGTGAGGCTGGAAACAGTTCTTAGATCTAAGCCAACTAATTCTCAGTGAAAATGTTATTATGGTTAACTTCACTGTCACCCTGACTGCATTTAGAGCTACCAAGGAAACATACCTCTTTAATGTGTCTATAAGGATGCTTTTAGAAAGGCTATCAGCAGAAAAGACCTACCCTGAATGCAGGAGACACCATCCCATGGAGTCCTGGGATGAATACAGTAAAAAGAAGAAAGCCAGATAAGACTTTCTGTCTGTCATTCATCTGTCTCTGCTTCTAAAACTGTGAATGCAACATGACCAACTATCTCAAGCTCCTGCTACCAGACCTTCTCTGCCATGATGAGCTATATTCTCAAATTTGAGAAAAATAAACCCTGCCTCCCAGTTGTTTTTGTCAGGTATTTTCTCACAGTAATGAGAAAAAAAAAAAAACTAATAAAAGCATGAAAAAATTAAATGAGAAAGAGTATTTTCAGCAAATAGAGCCCAGATGACTAGAGAGTCACCTGCAAAGGGTGAATTTCTCACAGCCTAGAAAGATTAACTAGAATGGTTTACAGATTTAGATGTAAGAACACTTAAATAAAACTGAGGCAAGTCTGATTGACTTGGGGAAGACAAAACAGAGAGACAGAGACAGAGACACTGAGACACAGAGAAAGACAGAGAGAGACAGAGACAGAGACAAGAAACATGCATATGAGTGTGTGTGTCTATGTGGAGGCCAGAGCAGAATGCTGGGTGTCTTCTTGAATTGCTCCTTATGTGATTGCTTTGAGACAGGGTCTCTCACTGAACTGACAGCTCAGTATTTTTTAGCTAGGCTAGCTGACTATCAAGTATACAGGATCTCCCTGTCTGTCTCCCCATGTTGACATTACATGCATTCGAAGTTGTGCCCTGCTTTTTCTGTGACTGCAGGAGATTTGAACTCAGTTCCATATGCTGGCAGAGTAAGTGCTCTTACCCACTGACCCATCTCTCCAAACCCCAAGCATTCTAAATATGATAACAAAAGCACAGTTTTTGAGGATCTTTAGATTTAAAGGTTTTGTTTTTTGAAAAGGTACTCCAAATTTGAATGAAAACCCACAGATTGGAAAAACTGCAAATCACATATATTAGGGACCCGAATCAAATAAAACATATAAAGAACTCTTACATACCCAAAATAGAAAAAACTCATAATTCAAAAATATGTGAAAAACTTGAATTTCACCAAAGAGATACATGAAGTCAAGAAGTGAATAAAAATGTTCAGTATTATCACTTTTGAGCAAATGCACTTCAAAAGTACAACAAAATACCACTTCACATCCACAAGAATGGCTAAACTAGATGGACAGATATTTTCCAACAGGTAGAGAATTTGATACCCTCAAGCATTACTGATTGAAGGTAGAATGGAGTGCCTCCTCTAGACAGCAGTTTGTCAGTTGCCCAGAATTGACGGGGTTCCTACACTGTCAGAATCACTTACCAAAGTGGAGGAAGCATGGCTTAAAATCTTATTTCTACCTCTCCTAAAATCAGAAAGAGGAATTGATTTTTTGTTGTTGTTGTTTTTAAAGGCAGCTTTTAAATCTGCATTTTTATTATAATAGTTTATTTTTATTAATTACAGTTCATTCCCTTTATATCCTACCTATTACTCCTTCCCTCTTTCCCTCCCAATCCTACCCTCCCTCTCTCTTCTCCACCTATGCCCCTTCCCCACTCTATTGATAGGGGAGGTCCTCTTCCCTTCCATCCCATCCCAGGCTATCAGGTCTCATCATCGGGAGTGGCTGCATCGTCTTCCTCTGTGGCCTCCCCTGAGGGGGAGGCGATCAAAGAGCAGGTCAATCAGTTCATGTCAGAGACAGCTCCTGTTTTCCTCACTAGGAAACCTACTTGGACACTGAGATGCTTTGGGCTACATCTGTGCAGGGGTTCTAGGTTATCTCCATGAATGGTCCATGGTTGAATTATCAGTCCCAGAAAACAACCCTGTGTCCAGATTTTTGGTTCTGTTGCTCTCCCTGTGGAGCTCCTGTCCCCTCCAGGTCCCTCCATCTCCCCCCTCCTTCACAAGACTCCCTGCACTCTGCCCATGAGACTCTGGCCATGAGTCTCAGCATCTGCTTTGATACCCTGCAGAATGCAGTCTTTCAGAGGCCCTCTGTGGCTGGCTCCTGTCCTGCCCCCCCCCCTTTTTCCTCTCCTCCGAGGATTTGTTTTTTAAATGAGGCCTCACTATGCTTCCAAGCTGACCCCCAATTCCACAGTTGAAGTTATCCTCCTGCCCTACTCTCCCAAGTGCTAGTGCCACGGGCACATGACACTGCTGTTTACTGACCTGGTTGGCTCTGAGCTGCGTGGAACCATCCTTGTACATCAGTGTCACCACCAGAGCTGCTGCTTGCTTGAGAACATCCATCAGCTGAACTTTTGCCAAATCATCCAAATATCTAACATCACAAAGATGCTTTCCAAAAGCTCTTGTGTCCTTGGAGTTTAGCCAGGTTTCAGTCCCATCAGTATCTTCTTCCAGTGCTGAGAGTTTACTTGCTATTTCTTGGGAAGTACTACATGTAATATATTTCCTTTTACAATTCAAGCATTCCTTATCTTCTTTAGCTATACTTTCCTTTAGGATGTGCTCTCTCTTATGCTCCCTTTTCTGTAAAACTGAAGATTCCTGATCACACTGTGGAATTAAATGACTCGAAAGAGCCAACGAGCTGATACTGTTCGGTACTTGGCCAGCAGAGAACTGACTTGTAAGCTTAGTAATGGAGGACTGAGGAAAGAGCTCGGTGGATCCTCTTAGTGTCTGAGTTATTAATGACTTAGGGTTCTGTAGAAAAAGGAAAAATAGTTCATTACAACATGAATTCACAAGACATGTCTAAAAACCAAGTAAATTTTTGATACGGCTTATCAAAGATAACATGAGGAATATTATATTATCTATAATTTTTGTCTTTCCATTTACTGTGGTGGATGCTGAGCAAGTGTTCTGCCATCCCTAGGAACACACCTCCCAACAGAGCTAGACAGTCTTTCTAGACTATACAGAGCTGGATCCTGGGGCTAGCGCAGGTACAAGCTCAAAATGTTTCCTCTAGCTCCTGTACTGGGAGTCATTCATACCAGAAGATAATGAACAAGAGAAAAGCCTGCAATTTACAATGACAAATCTTTAAAGTCCAGTCATAGAGAAAATTATGAAATCATAAAAACTACTTAATAATGTTAATTGAGCTATTAAATTAACAAAAATGCAGCTCAACAATCTTTGTCCTCATTCCAGCAATGTGGAATCCACATTGACAGATCCATCCCCTGACAGGAGAAAAGCATTTCCACCCATTTAGTAGATTTGTTTACAATGGCACTTTGTGTTTCAATGTTCGTTTCCAAATTTATAATTTATTTCTTGCTTTAAACAACTGTACATTAATATTATTTTTAAAGTAATTTTGAACTGAATGATGGTGGAACATGCCTTTTATCCCAGCACTTGGGAAGCAGAGGCCAGCCTGGTCTACAGAGTGAGTTCCAGGAGAGTCAGGGCTCAAAAAAAAAAAAAGTAATCTTGAAAGAAAATGTCTTAACACTTGGTCATATACCACAGAAAATTTAATATTTATATTTACATTTTTACTGCAGAGAAATAGTTTATGATTCCAAGAACAAATTTTTAGGCATAAAATTATATTAATTAAAATTCTGTAGAGTATTCAAGAAAATGAATTCAGTAAAATTTCAGACTATTGAAGATCTTGCTTGCATGGGTTTTTTGTTTTGATTTGTTTGTTTGTTTGAGACAAGGCTTCTGTGTGCCCTGGCTGTTCTGGAACTTATTCTGTAGACCAGGCTGGCCTCGAACTCACAGAAATCTGCCTGCCTCTGCCTCCCACAGTTCTGGGGTTAAATGTGTGTACCACCATGCTGGCTGCTTGCGCATTTTTTAAATGGGTGATGGTGAATAGGTTCTCGCATTATCCCCACTTTACTACAGGAAGTTTAGTTTTAAATTATGTTGGGAGCTGGCAAGATGACTCACTTGCCACCAAGCTTAAAGAGCTGAGTTAGATCCCTGGGACCCACAAGGTGGAAAAATGACCCATTCAGCGTTTGCTAGTTGTCCTTTGACTTCCACATGTGCTCCGTGGCATGTATATCTCCCTCAACAAAAATAAGTACATAAAAAATCAATAAAACTTGAAAATAGTTTTTTTTCTAGGTGTAGTGCTATGTGCCCTTTAATCCCAGCACTCAGGAGGCAGGGGCAAGCTGATCTTTGTGAGTTTGAACAGTCCAGTCTACATAGTGAGTTCCAGGCCAGCCAGGGCTACACAGTAAGTAAGACCTTCTCAAAATAGATAAATAGCTTTTAAAAAACTAGGAGCCCAGCAGTGATAGCACACGCCTTTAATTTCAGCACCTGGGAGGCAGAGGCAGGCAGATCTCTGTGCATTCAAGACCAATATAGTATACAGAGCGAGTTCTAGGACAGCCAGGAAACCCTGTCTTGAAAAAAAATTTAAAAAATTAGGTTAGAAGCTGAACAGGCAATTTTCTCCAGAGTCCATTCCCATGAGGTGAACTCCACCACTGTTTCAGTGACATGACTTCTTCTTTTTCTTGTATTGTCAAAACTGGTTAGCTCACTGGTCACCTCCACTAACCAGAAATGAAAACTGCAACAGCAAAGAGCTTGGTTAAATATCCTCTCTTGGTCTCAGAGAACATGAAACTCACAGCTATCATAGCACTTACTGCACACATGGAGCAGTGTGTGGCATGTTTCTGTGCTCTCTCCCTCCCCCATCTAAGTTAGCCCATAGGTTCTGGAGACTAGGAACGTGTTTAAAAGCATCATATTCAGAGTCTTAGCATATACCAGGATGCTTATTAAAGATCTGTTAACAAATGAGGATCATCTGTTTAGAATTACTCATAATTGTAAATACTTACCTTTGTTTCTAGTGATTGAGTCTTCTCATGTTCAGGTAATACTGAATAATGAACACTGGATTTTTTGGTCACATTTGAAGCTTAAAAACAAACAAACAAGCAAGCAAATTAACACTGGAAAAATAAATTAAAGAACCAGGCATGGCACTGCATGCTTTTAATCCCAGAACTTTGGAAGCAGAGGCAGGTGAAACTCTGTGGATTTGAAGTCTACATAGCTAGATCCAGACCAGCCAGGACTGCATATGGGGACCCTTATACAAAACAAATTATATAATTAGCTCACAATTGAAAATGATTAATGTGCTATTTAACCACTGTCAACACAACCAAAATGCATAAAACCATTGTAGTCAGTGGTTGCATAAAGTGTCTTCAAATCAAGACAGATCTATATAATTATGAAATGTTTATTTGTGGTTACTTGGAATTTGCCCTTGAATATTCTATTTTGGAAACTGAAATTAGCCAGGAAGTGTTTGTGCACACCTTTACTTCCAGCACGTGGGAGGCAAAAGCAGGCAGATCTCCGAGTTCAAGGCTAGCCTAGTGTACAGAGCTAGTTCCAGGACAGCTAGGCTACACAAAGAAACCCTGCCTCAAAAAAGAAGAAAAGGAAGAGAGGAGAGGAGGAGAACAAGAAAAAGGAAAGGAAAGGGAAGGAAGGAAGGAAGGAAGGAAGGAAGGAAGGAAGGAAGGAAGGAAAGAAGGAAGGAAGGAAGGAAAGAAGGAAAAGAAGGGAAGGGAAGGAACAGGAAAGGGAAGGAAAGAAAAGGAGGGGAGAAGAAAGGAGAGAAAAAAGGTAAGAAACACAACCCAAAGTTAACATTTTGGAAACACCTTCTAAGTACTAAAGGCTTGAAGAAATTGTCAAACTGAATAATACTGCAATAGATTAATCAGGAACTCAGGAAAACATCACTAATACAAACACCTAATTTAGATTAAAAATGTAATAACTCTGGGCTGGAGGGATGCATAAATGGTGTGTAAAATGTTTGCTGAGTAAGAATGAGGACTTCAGTTTGATCTCCAGAACTCATGTAAAAAGCCAAGTATGGGGCTGGGAAAGATGGCTCAGTGGTTAAAAGCAGTGGCTGTTCTTACCGAGGACCCAAGTTCAATTCCCAGCACCCACATGGCAACTCACAACTGTCTGTAATCCAGCTCCAATTGATTTGACACCCTCACACAGGCATACATTCAGGAAAAATACCAATGCGCATAAAACAAAAGTAGATAAATTTAAAAATATATTTTTTAAAAAGCCAAGTGTGTTACAAGCTTATAATTCCTCAGCTGTGGCTCATTAGCCATCTAGCCTAGCCTAAGGTGGGTCTCCTATCCCAGGTCCCAGTGAGAAACTCTATCAAAAACAAACAAACAAAAAAACAAAACAACGAGATAAGTAGCTGGCTCCTGCGAGCCTATGGCCTCCACACGCACACTCTTGTGCACCACACCGAAACAAACTGATTGAATAACTAACTTGAGCTGTACAGTAAAGGACAAAACTAAGACTCAATCCCAAACAGTGTAACTTAGACATCTGTATCATAGTCACTTTGACAGGTGTTTCTGTGTACATGGGCCCACTTGCACATGTGTAATTCCAAGGCTCCTAAGCAATCATAGAAAATGGATCTTACAAAGGCACTGAGGATGGAAAAGATGAACCCATGCTTGGACCATGTATTGATTCTGTGTAGGTAGGCATGGTGACATATATCTGTGATCTAGTTTCTTGGGAGGATACTGCAGAAAAATAACTTGAGAAACACCAACCTTGGCCACATATTGAGATACATTATCTAAAAGACAAAACTCTTATCTTTCAGAGCAGTGTTGCCAACCTGCCACAAGGTGACTGACTGTTCATCAAATATGATTCCATTGGGGACTCTGAGCCCTATCTCTGTTTTTGGGAAGTTGAATGTTTGACAAAGAAAGAGTTAAACAGCATGGGACAGAGGCTGCTATGTGTTAATTGGCCAAATCTTATGTCTAATAACATGGCTGTTGGTGCAGCCCAAGGTAGATGTTCATAGGTGAGAGATACTTCAGGTCTGTACCCCGGACCTTGCCATACATCTTGCCCCAAGAACTCCCTATGCCAGACCTTCTGACGTTTCTTATTCCAGATTGGTCAACTAGTCAACCTTTGTCTATAGATCCAAAGTTTTCCAGCCTTGGTTTTCCCATCCATACAAGGTTACTTGATGTCCTCACAATCTCAAGATCCATTCCCTCGGGAGCTAGAATCATGGCAGGGAGAATTTGAAGTTTAATTTTAATCTTTTAAAAGATTTATGGTTCTCTGATGCTGATGGTATAGCCTTACTTCATGTTCTTAAGAGTCTATATTAGGATTCTCTTGTGAAGGCTTTAAAAGACACACATTTATTTTTTTTCACCTCTAATAACATAAGGTCTGTTGGTTTGGCAATGCATATGGCTGGGACCCCTTTAGGCCCTACATGAATCAGGTGACTTTTGTATCATTCATTGCATGGAATAGAACACATTCCCAAATGTGGGATATATGCCTTTATTCTTTGAAACATTTTCTATCAGGCTTTGTGCCTCTTTCTTAGTGGTGGGAGGCATGAAATGCTGTAATTCGTTCTCTACTTGGAAGGTGATACCCTACTACACCCCTAAGGCTTCTGAATCACTTAGGGTTTATCTCCACCCATTGAACAGTAAGATCTCTAGTAAACAATATTTCTTGTTTGTGCTGTTGGACTGGCAGGATGACATCAAAACACTTTCTCACAGTCCTGAGGCAAAATGAAGATTTATATTGTCCATCCTAAGTGAATGTGAACTTCTTGACTTTCCTTAACTGCTTTCAATACTAGAGCTGACCCTATAAATACTTGGCACAATGCTAAATTTAGTCAGCAGAGGGTGCTGGAGGAACACTGCCAGAAGATGGACTCTGTTTTTTTTTTGTTTGTTTGTTTGTTTTTAACCAGTACTCTACACCAGCTTTGGGGGAGGAAGCTACTCCTTATCTGCTACTTAGATCTTTTAGAGTTCTCTTTATATGCCTTAGTGGCTAAAATCCATCTAGTAATAATGATTTAAACATTCCCTGTTCAATGTGATTTCTGTCTCCTGGGAGAACGAAAATACTTTAACAAGTTCTGTTAAACTAGTTTAACAAAAAGATCAGGAAAGGGAAGGAGACCCAAGAAAGAAAGAGAAAATTTTTGAACATATACTATAAAAGTGCATATAAACTCTGAAATCTTCTGATAAAATATATGAGTATATAAAAAATGTTTAAGAAAAAGTAGGGTAATAAGACATCAGGTTTAGTTTTAAGTTTCCCTAACATATTACAAAATAAACAAACATGCCATGTTTTTCTAAGACAGATGCCCCTGAACTGCTTTCAAACAAAAGGACAGTAGGACCTGGACCTCCAGCCATCCAGGCGGCCTAGACATGGATTAGCTACGTGGAAAAGGGCTTCTGAGCTCTTTGTGTATCTGGAAGGCAAAACCTCCAGAACCAAACTTTTGAAACCATTTAGTTTTCACCCTTTATTCAAATTGTACTTTGATAATTCACTCTATCTTCTATTTCAACCTACTCTGGTTCCCCTTCTCCTTTTTTCTTTAACTTTAATCCTAATAACACAATATTAAATATAAAACATTTTCCTGGCACTGGGCACAGTGGTACAACCCTTTGATCCCAGCACTCAGGAAGCAGAGGCAGGTACATCTCTGTGAATTAGAGGCCAGCCTGCTCTACACAGAGAAACCCTATCCAGGACAGCCAGGGATACACAGAAAACTGTCTCAAAAAACAAACAAACAAAACATTTGTCTGAGTTTGGCTTCTTTAACTTAATATGATCTCCGAGGAGGGGTAGGGGTGTGCTCCTGTCAGGAGCCAACAATAATTCCATTGACCTGAAAGCTCAAGACATCCCCCTGAACACTTTGGGCTTCTGATGCTCTTAAACCAACAGGCTAATAAAGGAGTAAGTGTTAGGAAGGATGATTGATCCAGACTGTCATGAGGAAATTGGGTTACTTCTCCACAGTTGAGGTAAGAAAAATTATATCTGAAATTCAGGCGATCCTTTAGGGTATCACTTGGTGCTGCCATGTCCTGTGATTAAAGTCAATGGAAATTACAATGACAAGGTGCACAAACTCTTCAGAATGATGGTATGGGTCACTCCTCTAGGAAAAGAGCCAAGACCTGCTGGGAATGGAAGAAATACTACATCTGTAGCAGAAGAAGGTAGTTATAAATACCAGCTAAGGCCACATGAGCAGTTACAGAAATGAGGGTTGTCATTGACATAGTTCTGTCATATTTTAAGAATGTGTTTGTACAGATATTTGTGTTTTCTTTCAATTTCTTTATCATGTAATATAACATCAATTATGAAACTATCAGTGGTTAACATATTTAAGTTCAAGATACTAAAGAACATCCCTCAAGGGACATTGGTGCCTATTCTAAAATTTATAGTGTGTTTGTGGTTGTACAGAGATAATTAAATCACATTAGGCCTAATTATGACCTGGTTAAATACATAATGTGTTTGAAACTGTAAATGAGATAATTATATCATGTTAGGTGTAATTATTATCTGGTTATTGTTTTCATTTGGAAATTAAGCATGACATAAGGAGATATAATTGTATGTCAGGTTGACAAGGGGTAAACTTGTGACTATTCTTGGTTGCCAACTTGACTAAAACCCAAGCAGTGCCAGGCATGGTGGCACATGTGTGTAATCCCAGCACTTGGGGAGGCAGGTGGATCTCTGTGAGTTTGAGGCCAGCCTGGTCTACAAAGCAAGTCGAGGACAGCAAAGGCTACACAGAGAAACCCTGTCTCAAAAACAAACAAACAAACAAACAAACAAACAAACAAAATAACCCCAAGCAGCAGGGTACAACTGTAAAGAATTTTTTCTTAATTAAATCATCTGAAGTAAAAGGCCTGCTTTTAAATTGGATCATTTAAATTGGAAAGATCCACCTCTAGTCTGAGCCACACCTGCAGCAGCCTGTAAAAAGAACAAAGAAGAAGGAAGCAGTAAGACAAT